TTAAATTCCATGCGTTTTCACAGGCTATCAATAAAACAAAAGAATATGTTACTTGGTTTTGAGGCTAACACAGAGCAAACCAGAACTCGAAATTGGAGTATTGTTCTCTGACATCAGAATGGCTCTTGATCTGAAATAATGATATTTATTGATAATAGACCAATGCATAATTTTTATTTTTTGAAAGATTATTTTAAAGATAATTGACGATATTTCTGCCACTGCAGAAATAATTTATTCATAATACAATTATTGACACCCAATGCAATATAACAGACTCAGCATCTATGTTTTAAGAATGTTTTCTTTTCAATGCACTTGAAGCTTTGCAATAGGGTTATTTTTTTTAACCATTTGCAGCTCATACAAGGAAAGCACAATGACTTTATTACTAAAAGCTACTTTTGCTTTTCAGACAAATAAAGAAAGATATTACTTTTGCATTGCTTCGTTTGTCGTCTGTGATTTTGTATTATATATATATATACTGTCACATGCACTGTATTTACCTGCTTTTTGTACTGAAGTTTCAGATACTTTTGGTGCACCCTGAACTCTTTAATTACAACACCAGCAGCTGTGAATGCTTCTTCAGTCCTCAACTTCTCAACCAAGGTTTGAAACAATTCAAAGTTTGTATGTCCTAAACCGTCACATAGATTACAAATTACAGCGAGYATTGAGTCTGTCCTGAAATTCTGGGGGAGATGTGTATATATATACGTGCGTTTCATACCATTTGGGTATTTCAGCAGGTACTGCTGTATAACATCTTTTACTAAGCTTTGCCAGTAACGGACTCCTGTCTCCTGCTTATCAATAAGCACACTGCGACATGATGATGGGCGTGATATACTGTCTTCATTAAGGAAGTCCTGAAATTYCTGAATGACTTCAGGACTAACACTCTGTCTTTTAAATTTCAGCCCATCCCTTGGTTCACCACCCTTCCCAAACAGGAGTGCGTGCACCCGAGCAGCAGTAATAGTGTGCTTCGAACACTTGAAGTGGTTTTGAAGTTCACTTTGGGTGAACTCCCAAGCAACTATTGATAGAATTCTTCTCCTCTCATCGCTAAATTTACTTATTCTACCAATGTTCTTGGCTATATTGCTTCTTGAGCCTACTCCCTTGTCCTTGAACCTTTGAAGGGTGCGACCAATCAGAACTTTTTCCGAAAATGCWCCCTGTTGCATTTTTATTATTTGAGATTCCTCCATTGACTAAGCTTGATTGTAATCAATGACTAAACTCTGAAGAATTTTGCTGTCACTGTCATCTCTTGTGGGATGTTGCAAATAGTCTCCATAATCATACTTGAACTTCTTTGAGTTTAGAACATCATGAAGAAGCAAATTTGCTCCTTGGCAACTATTATTGTAACTGGAAAGAACATCAGACAGCTTTTCATAGACCTCATTTCGAACATCTCTCTTACGGCGTTCTTTTAGCATTCCATAATCCTCTTTTATAAATATAGCCTCAGGAACCTGACAAGCTTTGTCGATTTTGGGGGACTTTTCTATCAAGTGACCATTGCAGGATACGTTCATTTCAGTCATTTCTCCTATATAATCTTCTACATCCATGCTTTCAACTGAAGGTGCAGCAAGTTCTTTCTAAAAGGAAAGAAACGAGAAATRTAGATGAAGCACAAATCACAATTGCAACAGAAAAGGTGCTTCATAGGAGGGATAACTATATCAATAACTACATGCAATGTTTCATGTGCTATAAGTGTTTTTGTCTACATTATTACTATAAAATTGCGTATTATAACTACGAAATTTTCAATTTTTTCGTGAGACGCAAAAATGATATAGCTAAAGCTGGTTTTCACTAGCCAGATAAGAAGTAAAGGCAAAAGACAAAACAAAGAAATGCAGTGAAGTGTTTGACAAAGCATGGACATAACCTTGCATAATCACAACCATACATAAGCTRCAGTATATGCTCACTCTCTTCTGTCTTCGTAAACGTATGGGAAAAGTTATCCATATTTGTTATTTTGCTCGTGCTTGTTACCACTAGTGATCAAAACTATGCTAACTTAAGCTAAAAGTGCACCTTCACGATTTTTTTTTATTATCTAAAACAATTTTTATGAACCTTGTAAGACTTTCTGTGAAAGTTTGGTGATTATTTTGCAAACGGTTGGGACGAAATCGGAAAAATAAAGCCAAAATTAAGTGCGTCAAATTCTTTTGTCCGAGCGGGGACTGGYGCGACTCTTGTGACGTCATCCCAGGCCATAAGTTCGATCGCAAAAGACTAAAATGCCTTATAAAAGTCTATTTTTCTCACAAAAATCAATAAAACCGCTAAGATTGAATGTATCAAACCGTTTTATATTCATTGAGAATTGTCAAGCGCTTGCCGTGAAATCAGTAGATTTGAATTTCAGCAAATTCCTTGTCCTCGGCACAGAATACGAAATAGTCATTTGAGGCACTTCGAAATTTTTACCTCGCGAAAGACTATGTACATACACGGCAGTCTAAATTTCTCGAGAAAATGAAATATAAAACAACCACGATTACAGACATGAAAATATTCTTCCTTTGCAGAGAAATGTCAAGCGCTGAGCTTGATCGGCGGTTTCAAAATCGGGGAAATACGATGCCCGGCACTCATAATTTTCAACTGAAAACATGACTAAAACTCTGCGCTTTGCTTCTGGATCTCATGRAAAGCGCTTAATATGTTTCAAGAACGAAAGAGTGTCCATTTCTGGATTCGTAGTCGTTTCATTTCATGAAATTTATTAGAAAAGCGCTTGAAAGGAAGAATATTTTCAGTCATGTGCTTGCCTTATCGTACTTATTTCATTTTCTCGAGTACGAGAAGTTTAGACTGCCGGGCATAGAGAACTTTGCCTCAAATGACTAATGGCTGTTTTGCGTATTTTGTGCTGAGGCCAAAAGAATTTGCTGAAATTCCAGCCCTATTACTAGTAAACTGAGTTCACGCTAGGCTCTTGACATTTCTYAATAAATATATAGCGAGYGGTATGGTTTATTCGTCTTGTGCATTTGGCACGCTTGATTTTGACAAAGTTGAGCCACTTCTTCCGTCTTTTTCTTGCTTCGGGTCGTCGTAACTTGAGGRTCGATTCCCTTCAAAATATCTGGCCTGTTACTGCAGCCACCAACAACGCACTTGATGGGCATTTCATTCGCGAAAGAGCATAAAAATCGATGTTAAATAAGATTTTTGGAGTTGACTCGCGATAAAATCCACTGTCAAGCTTCGAGAACAACAAATGCCTTGTCCTGGGATGACGTCAGAGTCAGTCCCAGTCTTTCCCGGTATTGAACCAAAAAAAAGAGCTCAAAGTGGACATGTATGTTTGTAAGCTCACCAAAAATTCGCTTTTTGATAAAAATGAAAAATTCTTTCACAGATACGTTTCCATTAACCTCAATTTTCATTTTAAAGATTAAAAAAAAATCGTGAAGGTGCACTTTAAGTTTTTTACACTTCTTGCGCACTAACCTGCAACGTTTCAAACTTGACTTCGAGTTTGATTCTCTCACGACAGAACAAACAAATCTTCCTTTTTCTCTCTTTATGTCCAACGGTGGACCATTTTCCGGATTTGCACAAAGCTTCTTCCGAAGGTGATACTGTTCGAAGATCTTTCAAGGCGGCATTTCCGTGGCCCCACTCCTCGTGGCGAGGGCAACAACAAATGCTTTTGAAAGGCATTTAGCCTTTTATCAAACAGTGACAATATACTTAAAAATACTATTATGGACTATATACAGATATTATACAAAATTCAAAAGAGGAATATTACTATATACAATAAAATTTGGAGAGTTGTTGACTTGATATTAGACGTGCTATGTTGATTTCGCAAGATGGCGACTAGTGCTCATTAGTATGCACATCAGTATTTTCACTCTAGCTCCTGATTTGCGCATAAGATTTCGGTCTCCTTTGTTGTAAACAAAGAGAATAGGGGTCCGATGGGGACTGTGCAGAAAAAATACATAAAAAAAAATTCCTCTGACTGCCAAATTGGACTCGGCCACGGCCTCGTCCAATTTTTGGCAGTCCTCGGAATTTTCCTCGTCCAATTATTTCTTAATTGGACAGCATGGAGTCCTATTACATATAATAATTTAAATATTTGGAAATTATATTTAAAAAAAAAGAGTTACTGTTTATAAAGCTACGGCGTCTCCAGACAAAACAGCCGCCAGTGTCGTGCCAGCGTCGAAACCGCTGCAAATTCATACCAAATGTCCCAAAATCAGTGCAAAATCTTTGTCAAAGTTATATTCTTTAATGTCGGGCCAATAAAATGGCTTATAAACACATTTTATCCATAGCGACATTAGAACTCTTTGAAATGAATTGCTAGACAATACAAGAGTCCCGGTTCCAACAAATGTATAAAGAATTAGGTCTATTCGATCGTGCACGACATCGAAACTCGGAGCTACAGCAAATCTTGCCTCTTTGTTATTATATATACAATAAAATYATCAAAAATATCAAAAACAATGAAAAGTCGGTAGTGATCTTCGTTTGTCTTTTTTAAGTCGGTGTTTTTTTTGTTTGTTCTTTTTTGCACTCAAATATAAATGTTCTGCATGCCAACGTTTTCATAATCAGGCTTAAAAGAGCATTACTTGATTTCCGCAGTTTTACCTGAGAGCATCCTCAAAGGTCAGCATCCAATTATTTTTTGGGGATTCTTCATGAAACAAGGCCCACTCATGCCAAGAGCGTCTTGGTAAGGGAAGCTCATTTGCTCTCAAGCTAGTACCATAAAATATAAACATTTTTGTTGCTGCGTCATCTTTGAGACTTTTGTCAATGGATGTGATACAACTGCCTTTGTTACATTGTATTTCATGGTTTTGGTGATCTTGTGAATGTGGAAATATGTGACTTGTCCACCATATCATAACTGGTTTATCGTGTCTAGGAATGTGGCTGAGGTATTTTGCCTTATTTCTGGCAAGGCTGGTGTTATCATCTTCCCCAATGTGATGACCTAGTATTAAAAAGAAAGAATTGCCTTTAACCTCTGCCATGTTCCTTCGCAACTATATTATAGGAAAAAACGTTTTGCTAAAATCAATACAAACTAACTGCTTAGTATGTGGTTCGTCCATAGCACAGGCAGTAAAGTGTGGCTGTAAAGTTATAGCAAATGAAAGCAAAAGCAATTAATTGGTGACGAACAGTAACTAGTTCCTTGTGGAACTACAACGAAAGACTTTCTGATAGAGTCAATTTCGTATGAGTGGGAAACGTACGGTAGAAATTACCGCACGGTTACCGCACAGCCAGTTACTGTACCTGGCCTGCACAATTTTTTTAAAGCAATGAGATACTAGAATTTGGTTACAGTACGATTACGGTTACAGTATAGTTCCGTCCGTTTCCCACTCATACGAAATTGACTCTATAGAAAGTAGTAGAGTGAAATGCAAGGAACTGCGAATTTGATATTAAACTAATACATTATCATTCAACAGCAATTTTTTTTCACTCTCGTTGGCGAAGAGTCGACCACGTAATGCGATAGTGCCCACTGAGGAGGGGTACTATCAGTGCATAGAGTCCGCAGCTTCAAAAAATGTTGTTGTTGGATAATTTTCCTACTATATTTCCACTTTCAACAATACTTAGCAAATAAACCCCTTCTGGTGGCTGGGATATCGGCTGATAATGTCCGAGGATGAGAAATGGCGCGAAAATTGTGATATTTGAGGACCATTTTTCATCCTTGGACATTATATATAAGTGAGCCAAGAAGGGGTTCATTTATTTTATAACCCAACGACTTCATTTTGTTGTGTTGACGAAGAAAGGAAAGTGAAAGGTAAAATCTACACACGAAGTGATTGTTCAAAGTATTTAATCGCAACTTGATTTGGTTAATCATTTAACAAGTGATTGAACAAGGCGGCAAAATTCTCTGCTGAAGTAAAGAACTACAAATTTATTGCTGTGTTTAGCGTRTAATTACAAGTAKTTTTAGACACAAAACCTAAAAAACTGGACCCTGTATACAGGGTTGACACATGCCCTTTGTTGTACATGATGTTTATTAATTGAATTGAATTAATTGGCTTCTTTGGGAGGGCTRGATTTTCACGCTAGACACAAGACCCCTTTTGTGATGTACCCTCTCATCTTGGACTGAACTTAGACTATCCACAGCACGCAAGACGCTAATCAACCGATGCTGCGCAGACGCACACCAACGCCCATTCACCGTCATGCACCTGGACGATAGAGACCAACACACCGCCCCAAGTTTCCTTTTTGCTTGGTAATAAAAGCCTAAATTACTGATCAAAAAAGCTCCGTTTATTGATGGCTTTGATTACAGTCATGACAATGATGAGAAGGGACAGCACAAAAGGTGTCTAAAGAATTAAGACCCTTTTGATGCGCACCGTGAATTAATTGGCTTCTTTAGACACAAGACCCCTTTTGTGATGTACCCTCTCATATATATCTAATTGCTTCACTGTCATAGTCTGTCATTTCTTTTCTTTTCACTCCATTTCATTTCATTCCATTTCATTTTACATTTTATCTATTGTAATWAGCTCGCGCTGTATTGCTGTGTTTCCYCGCGTGCTTTCCGTTTTTTGCGTTGTTTAAAATCTTACGTGTACTCTACCTTGATAATGRYCSYTYAGGCCGAAAGCTCGGTATTAAAAATATCACTAGTAAACGCAGAGGACTCATTTATTTTTAGAAATAATCAATTTCTTTTAGGTTCGAACTTGACATTGATGAAAGAAGGCTACATTGACAGACTGAATTAACCATCCTTGGGTCCTCTTTCAATCTATTACAAAGTAGCATTTAAAGAGAATGATAACAGCTGACATTTTTGTCTCTTGTCCAACAGTATTTCAAAACTAATATATTTCCCGCCTATTTATCATAAGCAACAACGCGAACGCGCGTTTAAACCATATATGGATTCGCCACAGGAAGACCAACTATAGGAAACGGAATTTACATTTTCCCGAGTTGAGGCTAACCCTGTATTCCCAGAAGGCCCATACCTTAAGTCTTATGGGAATACAGGGTTAGTCTCAACTCTGGGAAAATGCAAATTGCTAAGGCTATTGCAAAAACGAAATTTTCTCGTGCTCCCTTTTGTGTTTGGTCAGGTCTTTGCGCAAGAGAATCTGTAGTCAAATAAAGCAGCGGTTTTTCGCTATCAATTCGAAACTGGAGTATTGGTGATTTGAAAGTCAATTTCTTTGAAATTCCAATTTGATGCTGGTGTCTTTTTACAACAGACCGCTTTCAAAAAGTAACGGATGCACGTATATCTTAGGACGAGAGTCAAACCTTAGACGATTGCCTTCGAAATGATTGTCTTTGGTTTGTCTTTGGTTTGTAATGGTTCCCAAGTGTTACCAATTTTGGAGCGTTCCGCTAACCYATTTGTGGCAGGATGATCAGGCGCTGTAGTGGTATGTTGAATGWAATTGTCTCTAAGAAATTTYTGAAATTCTGCACTGGTRAATTGCGTACCATTATCTGTAACMRAGTGTTCAGGTAGTCCGAAATAGCTAAATGTATGACGAAGAGCMGCAATAGTGGTTGCTGAGGTAGCACTCGTCATAGGTACAATATCAATGAACTTTGAATAAGCATCCACTATTATTAMAAAMATTTTTCCTAGGTATGGACCTGCGAAGTCAAGGTGCAAACGCTTCCAAGGGCCACCAGGCCAAGACCACGAAGCATATTTAGAAGCTGGTGGTGCCTTAGCTGACTCCTGGCAAACTGAACAAAGCTTAACAGTCTCCTCAATCTCTTTATCCAGCCACCAAAGATAACGGCGAGCTAGTTGCTTCATCTTTACCATTCCAAAATGTTCAGTGTGTAGATCAGCAAGTAAGACTRCAMGAAGTGRAGAAGGGATARBCACTMTGGAGTTCCATAGCAAAATGCCATCTTCTTGAGTAAGTTCAAACCTTTTTGAGTAGTATGGAAAAAATTCTGGCCCGGGGTGATCTGGCCATCCATTTAGTACAAAATGTAGGACTTTACTTAAAATAACATCCTTTTTGGTTTCTATGGCAACGACTGAGCAATCTATGACCTGCTCTCCTTCGATAAACATTACTTGTACTGTGACATTTTCTTCTGACGAGGGACTCTCTGTTTTCTTAGGTTTTCTTGATAGATAGTTTGCATGTACGTTTTCTTTTCCAGGAATGAATTCTATAGTATAATTATATGCTGCTAACAGAAGCGCCCATCGCTTTATTCTTGCCGATGCTAGCTGTGGAACTGGTTTGTGTTCTCCAAGTAAAATAATTAGAGGCTTGTGATCAGTTAGTAGTTTGAAATGTCTTCCCAGAAGGTACTGACGAAATTTGGTAATCCCAAAAACAATGGCTAATGCTTCTCTTTCAATCTGGGAATAATTTTGTTCAGCTTTACTTAAGGTTCGAGAAGCATAAGCAACAGGTTGTAATTCCCCATCCTGTCCAGGTTGTAATAATGCAGCACCAATCTCGATGGAAGAGGCGTCACACTGAAGAATTAACTCCATAGCAGGCTCATAGTGTCGAAGAACAGTGTCGGAGCACATGGCTTCTTTAATCTGAGTGAAAGCACTTTGCTCCTGTGATCCCCATCTCCACGTGGTCCCTTTCTTAAGCAGYTGATATAGAGKGTGCATAATGTCTGCAAAGTCTGATACAAATTTACGTAAGAAATTTGCAGATCCAATAAAAGACTGAAGTTCAGCGACATTACTTGGAGGGGAAGCCTGACGTATAGCATCCACCGTCTCTTTTGTAGGGGCGACACCGGCTGCCGAGATGGAGAAACCTAAATACACAATTTCATCAATCATGAAGTGAAACTTATCCTTCTTCAACTTTAGTCCCAGATCCTGTAGGCGCTGGAGTACTTTATGTAATACTTTCAGGGGTTAGTTCTAACTGGTGGTATGCTTGCGAAMGGTCAAGTTTAGTATATTTTCTACCTCCAGACATTGTGCTCAGTAATTCCTCAAACGTAGGAACTGGGTACTGTTCCAAAGTAGCAAACTTATTTATTGTACCAGAGTAATCTCCACATATTCTGATACTACCATCAGGCTTCTTAATAGGAACCGTTGGCGAAGCCCAGTCTGAATGTTCAACTCTCTCAATGATACCTTCTTTTTCAAGTTTATCTAGTGCCCTTTCATAGTCATCACGAACAGAGAATCCTACCACTCTGGGTTTTAGAAACACTGGGTTGGAATAATCGACTTTCAATGAAACTTGGACATCCTTTAGCTATCCTACTGAAGTATTATCGAAAAGAGCGCAGAATTGCTGTACTATATCATCAGAAGTAATGGATACTACATTAAATATGTTATGCCAGGGCAATGTAAACCTAGACATCATATCTCTCCCTAACAAGGAGGGACCGTCCACCATTCTTATTGTGAGATCATGAACTTGATCCCCCACTCGCAGACTCATTTCTTTCTCACCTAAACACTTGATAGTGCTCCCTCTGTAGCCTTTAAGCACCACAGTACTAGGTTTAAGGGTACTAGTACTGCCCCCCCAATCAATTTCCATTTCAACATTTGCATCTTCAATATTAACAGTAAGTTTGTATAATGAGGTATTGGCAGGGGTATTTACACTATGCATGTAAACAGTTTGTGGATTCTGAAAGTTTTCCTGATCTTGAACTTCTATAGTAGTGGTTGTAACTAGATTGGTCTGGGCATTTGGTTCACTTTCTTTCTTTCTTTTGAAACAAGCTTTAGACAAWTGGCCTTTTTTATGGCAGGAATAACAAGGAGCATTAACATAGCTGCACTTATCAGCTAGGTGCTGTGTAGAATCACATCTAAAACATTTTTACCACTAGTATTGAAGGTAGTGGAGACAGGTGAGGCCTTACTTTTCAAGTTGGATGCAGTACAGGCATGTACAGGTTGATTAACATCAATTGATTCAGTGTTGGTATCGATGTTGGTATATAGAAATTTAGATTCCTTTTCTGCTAGTTCATCGGCTTGAGCTACTTTAAGAGCTTGTTCAAATGTTCTGTCCTCTGACAATAGCTTCTTCTTTGTTCTTTGACCTCTTATTCCCCCCACAAATTGATCTCTTAAAGCTAGTTAAGTATGGGCCAAAATTGCAGTGCACAGCTAGGCGCTTAAGCTTATTGGCGTATTCAGTAACAGATTCATTCTCACCTCGAATTGTATGGTGGAAACGATATGATTMAACTACTTCAAGTACCTTGGGTTTGTAAAAATTTGTAAGGATTTCCTTGAGTTTGTAGGATTTATCTGTGGGTTTCTCGGGTAAACAGAGGTCTTTCAGAACTTTATAGGYCTTTTTKCCTATAACTGAAATTGTAGTAGCCACTTTTTGTCTATCTGCTTCTTTCTTGGTGTCTTCGTTGGCGTCGGCGGCCACGTTTCCAATGTTATTGGCAAATAGATATGAGTCGAGTCGCCCGCTGTAATCAGAGAAGTCATCTCCATCAAAAGGTTCTATTGTGCCCACCTGTGCTTGAGCCATCTTTAAAACAGAAGGTTTTGTAGTACTTTATCCTCGTCTCCAGTTGTTAAATACTAGAATTCTGGTCGTAACTTGAACTTTATTACACCAATCTTACACTGAAAGCTACATGACAAACATGGCCGTTCTCCAACTAGCACATGGAGCCGTGCGCATGCGCGTAACGACTGACGTGAGCATAATGAATATATAACAAAGATTGAATAATACTGTTCGACAAGTTTCAAACACAAGCACGGCATTTTGGGATTTTTCCAATGCCTGACATTTAGTCCCAGAACTAAACGTCAGGCAGTCGATTTTTGTTGTGAAAAATCGTYGGAACAACCGTAATTTCAATTAATACAACAAGGGAAATGCACTAAAGACCGAAATAATACTGTTCGACAAGTTTGTATAGTCGCATGCACGGCACTTTTTTGACTTCCTGAAGTTTAATCCCAGAACTAAACATCAGGCAGCAAATWTTTTTGTGAAAAATCGTCGGAATAACCGTGATTTCAATTAATACAAGGGAAAAGCACTTAAGACCGAAATAATACTATTCGACAAGTTTCAGATATCAGTAGGCACTTTTCAATTTCCACCTCCCCTTCTCACTGCTAATTTCTGACAAGACCCTTATTTCGGTCTTTATTTCATTTCTCTTGTGCTATTTTAATTCATTGTCCGAGAAAACCGGGCATGGGTCAAAAGATGGGGGTCAGCCGATTCAACTGAAACTTATACCAGTCAATTGCCTTTGGATAGAAATAAGAATGGTCAAATATGAGCTTCAACGGACTTTTGGTTACCGAGATCACCCCCCCCCCCGGTTTGGCCCAAAACTGCCCAAAATCGCTTGATATTTGTGTGTACTTTGAAGGACTGTAAAAGAAAAACCATTAAAGGGACGATATTAATTCAACTTGCCACATATTTTTTCATCTTTGAAGCGATTATCCAACGAGAAAACCAATCAATTTGAGAAAGTTCTTTTCCCTGGTTAATTGTTTATTTATTGCGTGACGCAGTAATTTATGATAAATCGCGATGATAGGCAAAATTTTAAGTCTTTTTCTCAAAAGTGCGGCACTTTATTTACGATATTTTTCCATATCCGACTACTACAGAGGTTGTTCTAACATTCCAAAAGGTTTGAGCGTGGAACTCATTTTAGTTTTGAAATTATGAGCATTCAAAGTCGGCAAATTTGCATAAATTAATTTTCGCGCAATATGCAAATTATGCTCAAGTATTTACTGAAATTTTCTTAAAAATATCATTTTCATTAGACGCTTACGACATAAACCGGAAGTAACTTAGAGATTAAAAAATATTCTTATTGAATTTRCAAGAAGCAAGAAAATGTCCTTTTCCTACTGACAAGGAATTTTTCTTGAATTCAGGGAATCCCTTGATATTTGCCATCTGACCACCTCAAGGGCCCTTTGGCCTCGTTTCCATTCCTTTGTTTTCTATTGTTTTCAATTCACTTCCGGCTTACGTCGTAAGCATCTATCGAAAAAAGATTGAATTGCACCGTCCAATGCATGTTTTTTAAGATTACAGGTACTTTCAACATTTTTTAGAGAGTTTTATTCAAAATTTCATTGTTTTCTTTATCTTAAATTCAACGTAAATAACAACCATAATTGTAGAAAATGACATAAACAACTTTAACTGACAATTTATATCATATTGATATTTCTTTTTTAGTTTTGTTGATGTGGGATTGAAATTGACCAAGATATGAATTTTTTTTAAAACTATTGATTCTTTTCAATTTTATCATATAAATTGAAGATGTAGAAGCTGAAAAACATCTTGATGATTTATTAAACATAACAAGCACAAGTAACATCRAAGTTGTTTTTGACCATAGAAACGTTACACGATGAAGCCTTTTTTGGACCTTTCCCATGAACAAATTCATACAAGAACAGTTATTTAGCAGAACAGACCCCGTCAGCTCCTCCTGAAAGTTTTTGTCTTTTCACTTAGGTCCAGATGAGTAAGTCACCTCTTGCGTCTGGGTTCGTCTTTAGTGAATTTTGCGTTGCTACAGTTGACTCGACTCGCTTGTGCTCTTATAACTAACGTTAATAGCTTTTTCTTTT